TTTTTGAACCTAACATTGAGTTATTACTATATTTTTATTGTTGTAGCTATTGGCCATACTGAATTTCCATAAAAGCAAAAAAAAAAATGAAAAGGTAACCAATAACAACATTGCACTTTCATTTTTGTAAAAAAAAACTAACCGATTTACCAATGAACTTTCATTTTTCTTGAAAAACCAACCGATAATGAAATTGTACTTTCTTTTTCTTTCGAACATTTGAATTTTGTTGAGTTTTTTTTCTCTGTATCTCTATGTATTATATGTGTTTCTAAGATTGTTGATCTGTGGAATTATAATTGTGATTTACTATTTGATGCGAATTTCATGGAGATTTGTAGTGTGGTATAGTTATTAGGCGTTTTGTTTCAAAATAGAAGCAAATCTGTTTAAGAAAGTTTAGCTTTTAAAAATTGTTTTGTAGCTATGGTGTAAGTTTGCTTGATTGATGAAATTAAACTCTTCGATTTAATATTACACCTTGAATTTTAATATACCCGAAGCTAAATCTAGCTCTTTTCATGCAAGTTATTAACTTTTGGTACTATTTCATACGATAGCTTGGAATTCATTACTAGCATCATTTCATAAATCTATCTCTTCAATCATTCATTTGAAAAGAGCGCAATTAAGAGTACACGACCTTTTCATAGTTGATAATTCTCATTTGAAATGATTAATTCATGTTGTACTTTTTATGAATAATCTTGCTTTTGCTTCATATAGGTTTAATGACTTTGGAGTTGATGGTCGATCTACAACAAAAGCCATTACACCAAAATTCAATCTGCTTTCAAAGCATTTCACAACACATATATGCCAAGTGCCTGAATATGAGGTAATACATTTAATAATGTTTTCATTTAATGAAAATTCCTCTTTACTATTTTACTTTCAAAGATCTATAATTTACATTATTGGTTAGCAATTTCTGATTCCCAAAAAATATATATCAAATTTTTTTTTTTGGAAAATTTCAATTGGGTAATCTTTAACTGTTTAACACATGTTTACAGATTGCTACTCCCATGTTATATGACTTCTACAACTATAAAATTGAGAAGAAGGAATTCCTTAAACTTTTTATTAAATTCACACATGTTAGAGGCTACATCAGAGGGAGATTAAAGGCGTCCACATTAAAAGTGAAGATACACAGTTTGATTTCATTGATAAGATGCAATTTTGCCTGCTTTTGGAAATTGAAAATGCATATAAGAGTTATTGCGTATTTAGTTATGCTGTAATAAATTTAAGTAGGACGCTTTAGTATGTAAATTTATGAAAATACATTCCTATTTCTTGATTTAGCAAAAACTTTTTTTCTTTGATATACTGACCATTTAAACATGCACCAATGACACGGGTGACATTCATCTAGTTAATTAATGAAATGGTAAAAATGAGAGAGAACAAAACTCACATTTACCACTTTCTAAGAAACTAATTACAAATTAGTCATATCTCTAAAATAGACACCAATCTTTTTGATTTTTTTTTAAATATTTTTATAGGTTAAATTCTTTGATTTTTCTTTATATTTATACTTTTGTAGTTAAAACTACCATATAAAGTTAAATTTGTTGTGAAAATAATACTTGAAAATTTACCTTAAAAACTTCAATTTCTTTGTTCAAATGAATTTGCAAAAAAATTTATTTTCTTTTTTAAAGACAACACAGTTTGATGATTTTTCAGCCTACTATTAGGCTTAAGGGTGTCCCACTTATTTGCCGACGGTCAGCTAAGGTGGTTTGCTTTACCGCCGGTAAACATCCCCCTCCCCCCAAACATGTTTTTTGCCGATGGTAAATTTCGTAGGTAACATTCCACCGATTGCAAATTATTATATCTAACTATTGATTGGTCAATGAGAATTAAAGTTTTTTTTTTAAAAAAATTATTTTATAGGTAAAAATATCACCACACCCCACTCATAGCTAAATCGTGGCAAAAATGATAAAATCCTATGTGGTGTTTATGTGTCACACTTTTACCATTAACAAAACAAGTACCACATTCTTTAGCCTTAGTTGTGAATGTCATTTGTGAAATCCATAACCATTTTAAATATTTTTAAGTGCTTTTTGAACAATAGTAAAAACAGTGTTAGCTTTTTTTTTTTTTTGTCTTTTTCTCAAAAAATAAAACATTCATTTTCCATTTTTTTATAGATAATCTTAAAACATACTTTCATTAATTTATATTTGTTTTTCTCCATAAGGATTCGGAGAAGAAATTCTTCATATCAGAATTAAGATAAAACATTTTTATAATTTAAAAAGAACTTACAAAAATCTAAACTTCCAACCTTTAACATCATATAAATATAAAATTCATGTTTCTGAACTCCCGGCGCTAGAAACTTTTTTGTGTGTTAAAGGCTACAAGCGATGATTGCAGGGAGTTGGCATGCATTTACGTTGGTACTATTTGTTCTGGTGATGATGGGGTCAATGTGTTTGTGTCGGCATACCATACACTCCAATTAATTAATGCAACAAAATCCTCCACAAAGCCAAATCTCATTGCTTACTCTTTCATCTAATTAATCACAACTCACAAAAGCATAATTTTTAGAGCTGCCAAAAAATGTCCACTCCGTCAACCTAACGGGACCTTATCCAAAAGGACCTTATTCAAGAAAGAAAGGAGGCAAGCTGTAACAACCGAAAAAAAAAATTATATTGATTATAAAAATAATAAATATATGCTACATGCAAATAGCTAGTGTAAGATGAAATAGAAAACGAGAAAGAATAATTGATTAATTTGACAATTTAAATATATGCATATGTTATTTTTGTATGTTATAATTAACATAGCTCCATATATGTGTAAGTCATATGTAATTCAAAAAGTAAGTTAAAGATAAGAATTGAAAAACAAAATAAAAGAGAAGGGGAATCATGATTGGTCAAAAACTAAGTTGAAGATAAGAATTGAAAAACAAAATAAAAGAAAAGGGGAATCATGTTTGGTTATAAAAGAATCGGAATGAACAATTATAAAAATATTCTAGGGGAATCATGTTTGGTTATAAAAGAATCGGAATGAACAATTATAAAAATATCTTTTAGGATTTTTCTTTTGTACATTTGTTTTTGTTGAAATGATATAGTTCGAGTTAATAAAAAAAATATAAAGCTTTTATAATAACTAGGTGGGTAACCCCGCGTTGCCGGGCCAGATGTGTGATTTTTTTTTTATCTAAGTCATTAAAGACATACAGAGGCATTCAAAAGAAGAGTTAAAAAGAAGAAAAAAATTTATGCTTACTGGTCTCCCTAATATGCAGTTTCAATATATGCATCAATAAAGATTCATTTTTCTTACATTATTGAGAGGCTATTGTTGTTTCTCTCCAGCTATATTCAAATACTCAAACCAAAGTATCCATGGTTCCACGAATTTGGTAACTCATTCAATTTGTGAAATATAACCATTTGAAGGCCGAATATGTGATGTAGTACCGGTGAAATAAAGCAAATATTTATCTATTTCAGCATCTCCTGCTTACGTTTCTTCTCGGTCACTTTCCTGTAAGGCCAATATTGTAATTCAATAGTTTGTAATAATATTTAACGCATATTAGAGTTTGACACTTTCTTCATATTTAATTTTCATCATTCATAGTTAAAACAGTTTTTTCAAAGTCAACTTTATCTTTGCTCCACACTTTATTCTTCTCTAACTTTTTGAATAAGTCAACTTCTTAAAAAAAAATCTCAGCCCCAAATCATTCTTATTTCCAACTATTGTCATATTTTTTTTCACCTGCATTCATACTTAACCTGTTAGGTTGATAAAAAAATCACTAAATGAGTTCCAACCTTAATACCTGGAGGATGATAAAAAAAAATCAACAACAATTTCAGCAACAGGAAAACCCGGTTAGCAACTTTAATTTGCTTACATGAACAATTTTTTATGATGTGGCATCTGATGTCCACATAAGCATGTGCTATACTTATGGACACTTAAAAACAACAGTTTTTGACACTTTTACACACGTATGTGGCCATTTCACTTGCCATGTGAAATGCCAACTCATTGAAAAATGTCCAACTGAGAAATCGAACCTGGGAGCTGTTTTTTTAGGTCAAGAATGGCGGAAATGAAGAGGAAAAGTGAATAAATATATTTTATCCAAATAAAAAACTCATAATAGCTTTTGAGGTAAAAGGTTGATAATGTGTAATTTTCCCTAAAACGTTAAAACTAGGGTGAACAAAAACCGCACCGCAACTAAAATTTACCGCAAAAACCGCATAAACCGCAACCGATTAACCGCAACCGCAATAAAAACCGATGGTGAGGTTTTCTGTTTTTCAAAAACCGCAAATTTGCGGTGCGGTGCGGTTATTAGTTTTCAAAAAACCGCAAAAAAACCGCACCGCACCGCATATATTATATACAATTTTTTTTTATTAATTATTAATATATTAAATATTAAAAATAAGACAGGTTTCATGAATGAAAGATTGATAAAATACTAGAAGACAAAAGTGTTGGTTTTTTGTGATGTTTAACTTTGAAAAATAGTGAAATTAGACAATTTTAATATATTTATTGTTAATTACTATTGATTTGACGTTTTTAAGATATTAGTTGTTTGTGATTTAAGTTAATTGTCTTATACCTTATGGTTTTTTTTATTATTACAAGTAATATGTTTGAACTCTTAAAGTCGTTTGAGCCATAGTCACATAGTTCGTGGTACGGTCCGGTACGGGAACAGGGAACGGGATTCATGAGGTTGGGCGTATCGGGTACGAGGGGGTAGGTTCATTTCGGTACGTGTCCGATACGGCGTACCATTGGTCCCTATACGGTGTACCTGTTTTTAGAACACATATTTAGCAATAATTTACTTATAAACATAATTTTCAGCAACATATTTCATTTAGATGTACAATTGCAGCAATATATTTCATTTATAAACAGAATTCCAGCAATATATTTTTATAAACTCAATTCCAGCAATATTTTTCATGATTCCATAATTCAAAATACCAAAATACACATATTGTAAAGATTACATGCTGGAAATTAAAACAGATTACATGCTGGAAATCAAAAATTCAAAACAACAGTTTTGTAATAACTCAAAAACACAAACAGGAAGGGTAAACCAACAAAAACTGAAATGTAACATGTCAATCAACCCGCTGCTTTTTTCCTTGTCCATTCTCCAAATCTTCTTCATCTAAGCACTCCCAAACCATGTCATCTAATCGTGAACTCGAGCCTTCAATGTAAGTACTTTCGGGATTGATGTCCCACTTTTTATGTGGGCCGGATTTGTATGATTCGTGGAAACGAGATAGGAGTCGAATGTTTGAGTGAATGTAAACCAATTTATCGGCTCTTTTTTCATTCAACCAGTTTCTTTTCACATTATAAATATAAGAATACGTACTCCAATTCCTTTCCGCGGAAGAGCTACTAATAGGTTGTGAAAGTACCTTCTTTGCCAACAAGGCCAAATCCGGGGTTTCGGCTCCATAGGTTGACCACCAATCTATTGGATCCATTGTCAAAGCATCCGTTTGTGTTTCTGCCATAGAGTAGATACCTTTCTTCATATGAAATGTTACGAATTGCTCTCGTAACAATCGTCCCTCCTCTTCATTTTCAGAAAATCTATTGAAGGATTCTATGACACCTTGCATAACCTCTTTGACAAGATTTTATGGTTTCCTTTGCATACCACCGGGTGCCATTTTTTGAAGATATCTCCTATCATAAAAGCGTGGGTTTAATGCAAACCCCAAACAATGTAGTGGGATACTCATCTTCTCCCACCTAGTTAAAATTATCTTCTCCACTTGTTCATAATAGCTAGCATAAGTACTTTCTTGCATTATGTCTTTGATTTCCCCCATCATATTATCCATCCTCTCATAAATCTCACCCATTTTAGGGTCTTCACCATCACAAAACTTTATAAGAAGAAAGATGGGTTTAGTGATAGCCAAAACGCTTTCAACATCATCCCAAAATGAATCATCTTTAATTGTATCACATACTTTTGCCCCATTAATTCTCGTATTTTCATCCCCACATTTAACCCAATCTCTCCAAGAATTAAGGACTATAGTTGTGGCAAGAGCCTCCCTACACTCCATAATTCTTTTTAAAAGAATATAGTGTGAAGCAAACCGAGTTGTAGCCACCTTTAATAAATCTAGTTTTGAATTTTCACGAAACATCGACAAGGCATGAGTGTGGTTAATAAAGTATTTCACAATTGCTTTTCCTCTCCTATAGGTATCACTCATCCAATAAAATTTTGTGCCATATCTTTAAAAATCAAGTTTAAACTATGAACACAACAAGGTGACCAAAAGATATGTTTGAATATCTTTTCGATCTCGCGTCCGGCGGCTTTGCAATTAGCCGCGTTGTCCGTCACCACTTGTAAGACATTACTTGGACCAACGGCTTCAATTGCTCCTCTTAGAAACTTGGAAATCGCCACTCCCGTTTTCTCAACTCCCGAATAATCTTCCGCATACATAAACACCGCACCACGAGCATTGACGGCAACAACATTGAGAAGTGGCTTGTGTTTGACATTAGACCATCCATCCGAAATAATCGAAACACCTTGAGTGTACCAAGTATCTTTCAACGGTATTAGTTCTTTATCAATATCTCTCACACACTCATCTAGCAAGACGGTTCTTGCTTTTTCACTAGATGGAGGTTTATATCCATCCGGTGACTTCTTGATGGCTTGTATCATCTCAATGAATTGAGGATTCCGCAAGACATTGAATGGGATACCATTAGCACACAAGCCTCTCATGATTTTGATGTCCACCATATTCCGCTCCATGACACCAAAAGCTTCCTCAAGTCGTCTTTTTGATGCTGAATTTTTTGAAAGGACTGAATTTTTTAAAGTTCTTGACACACCTCCGCTCTCGGCTTCTTTCACCTTGTTCGAAATTCGTTGTAGCTTGGACGGATCTTTAATCATAGCTGGACATCTTCTAATTTCTGCCGTCTTCCCAACTTGAGCACCAAAGAAATGTATATGAATCCTAGTGTATGAACTTGTATATTTCACTTTGCAATGCTTACAAATCCATTGCTTTGATCCTCCAGCATTCTTACTAGTACCCGAACCAACCATAGTCACTTCTTCTAAAAGAGGTTTGCGAGCTTCTTTATCACTTTTTTTGCTTCCTGATGCGCCTACTGTTATGTCCTCGTTCTCACCAATGTCAACAAAATTTTCCTGCGCCTACTGTTATGTCCTCGTTCTCACCAATGTCAACAAAATTTTCCTGTGGTTCTGTTTCAGATACATGAATACTAGCATTGCCATTGCCAAAAACCATTCTCAATAACTAATAGAATAACAGTAGAAGAGAAGAAGAGAAGAAAAGCAGAAATTGACAAGTGTATTAATGGAAGTCGATGAATCAAACCAATTGTCGGGCTATTTAATAACTAATAGAATAACTGTTATTCAATAACAGTAGAACTGTAGAAGAGAAGAAAAGAAGAAAAGCAGAAATCGATTGGATGTTACAGTGGAATGCAAGAATCATCTAATTGAAGAAGATGAAGTTTATGGTGACAGGGGCTGATTTAATAAGCAAATCATACCTGAGGAATCAAACCAATTGCCGAAGCGTTTTTTTTCCTGAATCGGTACTTTTTGGAATCGACATCACAATTCCCGCCCAATCGGTGATCCAATCGCCGTTTTTTTTTGCAATCGCCGACCCAATCGACGAATTGCTGCAATCCAATTCGTCAGAAACGCGTCCCCGCCATCGTACCAGTTGATTGCTCGGATCGCCAAGGAGCCGTACCTGAGAACGTTTCGCATGGCGTTGGGATCGACTTTGTACCCCGTTTGGGTACGAAACGTTCAAAACGTGTTACGTGACCACATGAGCGACTCCTGTGACTATGGTTTGAGCTCCAAACTGTGGTTAAAAACCACACCAAATCCATGTGGTTAATAACCGCAAAACAGAAAAAACAAAACCGCACCGCAAAAATAACCGCCTAACCACACCGCAAAAATAATCGCACCAAGCGGTTTTGAAAATGGATTAACCGCACTTGCGGTTAGTGGTGAGGTTTTGGCTAATAACCGCACCGAACCGCACCGTGCTCACCCCTAGTTAAAACTCACCAAATGAGAACCGATTAGAAAGAGCCCAATTGCTAACCAACACAAAACTGATTCAAAATTTGATACATTTTCTTTTATTGTTGGACCATTTGCATGGATCTTTTCCAGTCTAGTTTTAGTATTTCCATTTCCATTTCAGAAGCTCCAGAAGAACCATGTTGCTGAGAAAAGTTATGAAATGATTAAATGTAAGAAATGGTATTGTTTATATGATAATTATAATATTAGATTGATAAGATAAAAATAACTGATACTAACCTGAAGCTGCAAAATTGTTTTATTAGAATCATATATAAACGGTATGAATTTACAGTTTAAAAAAATGACGGCATACTTGGCCACTTGGGTGGTATATAAAAAAAATATTATGAAATGAAAGTAAGCGTTCAATGTAAGTAACTTACATCAACGCAACCACATTGTCGACATCTGCTTTTTATTTCCAACAATTGAAAAAAAAAGACTTGTAAGTGACAAAACCAAACAACAAATTGGTTATAAATCGCAAAAACAAAGAAAAAAATGTTAAGAAATAACAATTATCAAATACAACTTACTCACAATCACGGTCACGGAAAACTTGAGAGGAAAAAACATCAGCATATCTGCACATGTGATCCAAAAAAATGTCACCAAATAGGATTAGGAAACACATAAACAACACAATGAGACCTAAAATGTCAATGAAACTGACTTTTAGATCTTGCCATGAAGCAGAAGACGGTAACCCAATGAGATAAACTACAAAATCATTAGAAAAATTTGAAATGTTTTTGATAGATTATTAGAAGGGAATAAGGAAACAAAGCAGGAGAATGAACAAACCATGACAGTCAGAGCGCCTTGATAGTCCCGCATGGCTCCGACCTCCCTGTTGTGCCGATCAATGGAAGATAAAAGTTCAACCTTTAATAAAAGTAAACACAAAAGAATTGTCTGGAAGCGGAACCAGAACCGGTGGTTCTTGGAAAGTTCGAACCAGAATCGGAACCGGTTATACCGGTTCTTAATATCTTGGAGCCAATCTTGGAACCGTCGGAACTGGTTCCGGTTTCGGGTACCTGGTGTGGTTTTCTTCTTCTTTTTTTTAATCCTTAAATGTATATGATTTTTTTAACTGAAGTTTTAATCCTTTGTAAATGTAAATGATTTTTGAATAGAAGTTTTAATTCTTTCTTTTTAGTTAATGGCATGGAAGCAGCTCGACTTTTAGATCTTATACTTAAGTATGTATCCTCATTAGTTAACTGTTTAGAATATAGAATTAAAGTTTTAAAAAAATCAAATCACTTAGTCTAATAAAAGCTTTTAATCTTTTTATGAGATACAGTACATATAAAACATAATATATACATTTAGTTTTACCATTTAAAATTTGTTGTTATAGTTAACGTTTTAATATTTAGTATTTAACTTAACAATAATTTTAAGATATGTAATGGAGTTGATATATTTAAGATGGAGTCAGTGGAAGGAATTCGGTAAGCAAACCTTCAAGTTACCCAGCATCGTTTTGAGATGGTGATTGCTTTTCATGATTAGCAGACGAATGTAATTGCATGTTGATATCCAAATTCAATCCGGATCTAGGTATTCTACCATTTGAATGCATCAATCGAAATCCCATAGTATGCTTTGAAAATCCTTTTATCCTCTGTGAAATCTTTCAGCGCCGAAATGCAATGAACAATCATAGTTGATGAACTGCTTCCAAGTTATCCTACAAAATTCTTACAACATCGTTAAAACTCAAAATCGAAATGAAATAGAAGTGACATGTGTTGAATCTGTTGTAAGCTATTTACCCTTTCAAAAACTGAAGCTTCAAATAGCGGATGACCTAACCCATCTACTGTTTTTAGAAAGTTATCAACATTTTCAAATAATTTATAAGCAGGCAATGGCCAAGAATCCCATGTATGTGAATATGTCATTGTGAATGAAATTGAGTAATCTCCACCACCTTTATTACAATTTATCAAATCAGTAATCAAGAAATTGTGTAGAACAATAGGAAAACTAATTTTACAATAAGCAGTGTGAGCTGTACCTTTGGAAGAGGCCTGAGTTGAATTTCATTAATGGCGTCACAAGGGTGTAGGCGGTTTAGGGTAATTTTAGCTCTGGTCAGCTTTCGTTAATGCTGACACAAAGAAATTATGTTGCTTTAGCCTTAACTCCTTCCCCTGAGATAATGAATATGAGTAAATGACCATTATACCCTTGTGTATCGAAATGATGGTCAATAACAAAATGCAGTTAATGTAAGAACTGTTACCCAAAATCCTTCCAAGTCAATGACGTGTGTTTGGTAGGTTCATCCTCAATTTCTTGATATGAACCAACCAAGGGTGCCTTTACACCTAGAAATGGCACAAGAGCCTGTTTATGTGACAAACTTGTCCAACATATTTACTATTGCATTTCCAGATATGGAGATATTGTATCCAGGTATTGAATGGTAGAAAGTTAGCTATGACTCACATCTGAATATAAACATAAAGTAAATTACCATCAATGTCAGTTAAAATTAAAGTGGAATCAAAGGAAGAAGCGACTTTTTTAATTGTTGGTGATGTGATAGAACAATGTTGTATAGTTAAGCTGTAAAGAGGTGGAAAATAAAAGGTAACATTATCAATAGAGATCCACAGAAGAATCTACTGTAGGCTCGTGTCGTGAACATCGAAATGACTAAGGCTCTACATAAACATGAATAAGGGAAGCAATATAGGCACTGTCCCCAACAATTTTCAGGCCGGTAGGGCTTTTCCTTGGAAGACGGCGCTGGCTCGTTTCTTCCTGCAACGATTAGGTGGAATACCTAGAACGGATAGACGGAGCTCGTTCAAAACCAGTCGGTATTGGAGCTGGCTGAAAACCACCTCTGCTGCCAGTTTTAATATGTATAATTAAAATCACAATAAACCCAAAATACAAACCATACCTAGATGAAGGATCGGCTTGTACCTGCCGAGAAATAAAGAAACGGAGTCGCTAAAAAGAAAAACCGGAAACATGTCTGATATGAATCGGAAAAAATTAGGCTGAAATCTATCTGAATCGGGTTCATCATCTCCTGTAATACCTTAACAGGGGCTTTTGCTGGAGGCTTTCTCCGTTCCTCGGTCTTGGTCTGCACCTAGGTCTGTCGAATTCACATACCGACTGTGGTTTACGCCCGATTTCTCTTTTGCCTTACTTCTGTGTTGTGTTCGTCTTCCCTATTGGCCGATCAAAACAAAAGAAACAGGTGGAGTGAAAGAATAGAAGGCTGGAAATCAGAATAGAAAACCTACAAAGTATGAGGCGGTGGATTGAATGGCGGTGGCGATGAAGGAAAGAGGAAAAAGAACAGAAGGTTTGGATAAGGAAGGATGGAAGGAAGAACAGGAAGGATCAGTTACCTAAGCGTGTGGGGATAAAATGACCGGCAAACCGGAACTATTCAAATTCATGCTCTTCTTTAATATATATATATATATATATATATATATATATATATATATATATATATATATATATATATATGAATTTGTTTAATTGAAAAATCACAATTCCATTATCTTTCATGAAATCAAGTTACCTATCTTTTTTTTCGGTTTAAATCTAGAAATCTATTCACCGAAGTCGAGTTTTTGACAAAAATAGTGTTTTTGTAAAAAAAATATTTACAAGATAGATATAATTTTAAACATATTTACCAAATCGGTATAGTTTCAAAATTTAACATTTTTTTTGGTTTGTTTTTGAGTTTTTGCTTTTGATGTTTATAAAAAAAATCACAAACACCATTATAACCAACAAATTTTTGAATATGTTTTCATATTGTTAGAATTTCGGGGTAATAAAGACATTTGAATATTCTGAGAATTGTGATTCCACTTTCTAATCAAAGTATTTGGGTGGTACATCCTAATATTTGATTGGATAAGACTCAGAAGAGAATCAAAACAGAGAATGAGATGTATCAATTTCGTGAGTACCAAAAAACTGACCAAAAATTGGTTAAATACCTGCTTTGTCTGAAAACTGTTAAAACTGTCATAAAACGGTTTTCCAACAGTCAAAAACTGTCATAAATCCAGGTTTTCTATATGGCTCTGCCCCTTGGACCCCGCTCCCATTAGAACTACCCCCGGACCCTCGTTCATTCAGGGGTTTCGCCCCTAAATGATAGTATACTTTTAATCTTGAATAAACTTAAATAAGTGTGCACTCCACACCTTCCTTACTTGTTTAATATTCATCAAGATTGATTTTAGTCAACAAGTCAACCCATTACACTTAAATACAATTAGTGAAGCAAATCACCAACAAGTGTAATCTTGATTAACTTAAAACAAAACATAACAACAACAAACTGATGCATAAATGAAATGTCGTGACAATTGAATTTCACATTATTATAATATTCATTCCAAATATTTGAATATCAGGGTGTCACTAAGGATTGAGCCTTTTCTATTCATAGTGAACACATGAAGATAATACACACAATAGTTTACATTCTCATAAGTTCTAACTTGACACTAAATTTTACTCACTTGTGTCCCGTCCTTCTATAAGCATATCAAAGTCAAGTCCCAACTTTTTAAAGCAGCTAAACTTCATGCTTATATAGGGAGTTCTTTTGTTCTTGCACCTGTAAATGCAATTTTTCAAAGAACTATTAAGAAATAAAATTCAACCTCCTTAACTTGCAATACCGAACACATACCTTGGGATGATGATAATAATGTGTTCCAATCTTCAAATATCAAGCTTTCCACATTGAATTCAGCATCTAATATTAAATTTGATGGGAATTGGGTATCTTAATATAAAAGATTGTAAGTGGACTTTAAACCCATCCCTACGGCCGCCTTGTGCACAAGATCTCTTGCTAACCCTTTGGTTAGATGATCGGTTAAATTCAACTGAGTTCTTACAAACTCCACAGATATCACACCAGTCATGATGAGCTCACGAATCATGCTATGTCTAACACCTAAATGTCTAGTCTTTCCATTGTACACTTGACTATAAGCCTTAGCCAAGGTTGCATCACTATCACATCTGATAGAAATGGTAGATATCGGTTTGGGCTATAATGGAATTTCATAAATCAAATTCCTTAGGCACTCAGCTTCTTTACCAGCAGTAGACAATGCAACAAACTTAGACTCCATGGTTGAGTTAGTAATACAAGTCTGTTTCTTAGATGCCCAAGAAATGGCACCTCCTCCAAGAAGAAACACCCAACCACTTGTAGAGGAGTGATCCTCTAAGTTGTTAATCCAACTGGCATCTGAATAACCTTCCAAAATAGAAGGATATCCACTATAAGTTAAACCATAATTCATGGTCCCTTTCAAATACTTGAATACTCTACTCACAGCTTGCCAATGATGTAAACTAGGATTACTAGTATATCTACTAAGCTTTCCCACAACATATGTTATATCAGGCCTAGTACTAATCATGGTATACATTAGACAACCAATAGCCCTTGAGTATTCAAGTTGAGACGTTGGAGATCCTTTATTAGGTAGAAGCTTAAGACTAGGATCTATAGGAGTGCTAACGGGAGAACAATTCTCAAAGTTAAACTTTTTCAATATCTTCTCAATGTAATGAGATTGAGAAATTGAAATCCCATTGTTTCCTTGTTTAATTCTTATACCAAGAATTACCTCAGCCTCCCCCATGTCTTTCATTTCAAAACTAGATGACAAGAATTTATTGTTTTTATCAACTTCTTCTAAATCAGTGCCAAAAATCAACATATCATCCACATATAGATAAATCATAACTCTTTTACCAGAAGTATCAAATTTGCTATATACACACTTGTCAGCTTGGTTTAACGCAAACCCTTTAGACAAGACAACATCATCAAACTTTTGATGCCATTGTTTCGGTGCTTGTTTCAAACCATATAATGATTTCTTCAACTTGCACACTTTGTGTTCATTTCTAGGCATCACAAATCCTTCAGGTTGTTTCATGTATATTTCCTCATCCAAGTCATCATTCAAGAATGCAGTTTTCACATCCATTTGGTGAATCACAAGATTATGTATAGTTGTAAGAGCTAATAATAATCTAATAGTGAAAATTATGGAAACAGGAGCATAAGTATCAAAGAAATCAATGCGTTCCTTTTGTCTAAAGCCTTGGATAACCAATCTGGCTTTATACTTATCAATTGTGCCATCCACCTTCATTTTTCTTTTGAGTATCCATTTACATCCTAATGTCTTGCAACCAGGAGGTAAATCAGACAATACCCAAGTATTGTTATGCATGATAGAATCAATCTCATCTTGAATTGCCTCTTTCCAAAAATGCACATACCTAGAAGCCATAACTTCAATGAAAGTATTTGGATCATCCTCAATATTTAAACAATATTGATGTTGAGATACAATATCATCCCTTGTTCCTTCAACTAAATATAGTTGAAAATCAGATCCAAAAGATTTAGCTTTTCTAGCTCTAGTACTCTTTCTAAGTTCAGGCACATAACTTGTACCACCAAAAGCATCTTCAGATTGAGTTGTATTCTTGTTGAAAGATTGTTGAATCATGTCCCTTGGTTTAGGTATAGATGTAAATATTTCTTCATCAAAGATAACATCTATTGACTCTATAACAGTGTTCACAGACACAGAGTCATTAGATTCTAAAACATAGAATCTGTAAGCTTTGGAATGCTCAACATATCCAATAAAGATACAATATATACCTCTTTCACCCAATGTTTTCCTTTTGGATTCAGTGAGCCTCACAACTGCTCGACAACCCCAAACTTTGAGATAAGTTAAATTTTGTACCTTTTTACACCAAAGTTCATAAAGATTATTCTTACTCCTTTTGTTTGGAGTTCTATTCAAAATATAACATGCAGTTAACATAGCCTCATCCCAGAAACCTTCAATTAAACCTGAATATGACAACATGGAATTAACCATTTCTTTTAAAGTCCTATTTTTCCTTTCAGCTACACCATTTTGTTGTGGTTTATAAGGAGTCATAGTTTGATGTATTATACCAGTTGATTCAAAATAAACCGGATCATAATACTCACCACCTCTATCAGTACGTAAAACTTTTATTAATTCATTTTTATGAAATTCAACCTCTTGTTTATAAATCTTAAATTTATCAAGAGCTTCATCTTTGGAATGTAGCAAATAGATATAGCAATATCTAGATCCATCATCAATAAAAGTAACAACATAATTTTTTGTTTCCAAGGGAAGGTGTTGCATGGAAATCTCATAAATCACTATGTATAAGTTCCAACACCTTGCTTCTCTAACAACATCTTTGAAAGGTTGTCTTGTGATTTTAGTTAACATGCATGTTTTACATTTTTTATTGTTTATATCAAAAGTAGAAATTAAACTCATTTTTGACATGTCTTTTAATCTCTTGTAATGAATGTGTCCTAGTCTAGCATGCCATAAATCATATTTATTAAAGTTATTGCTAGTACTAGAAGAAGCCATGCAAACAAAATTATCATAACTAGGATAAGTAATATTAAGCCTAATCATTCCATTACATACATATGTTAGGTTTTGAGCAATATAACACTTCCTAAGTGCACATGTAACCCTAAATACTTTGGATCTATGTTTTCTCTAATTATACATGCATTTTCATTTTTCCAAAGCATTGACCCTAACTAGCATACAATTGAACAAGTGAACAATACAACTAGTTAGATAACTTACCTTTTAGAAGGACTTGTAGTTCTTGACATTTGAAAGCTTAAGCACCTCAAGTGTGATGCCTCTAATGGTACACAAACACCATATGCAAGAGGAGGCTTAAGAGAATAAGTTTTTTAGCACAAAATCAACACACACTCTCAAAGAATGTTGTAGTCGTTCATGTAGCCAATTTTGGCTATAGGGGGGTTCTATTTATAGTGTTGCAAATGCTAGAGTTACACTTTGTAAACCCTAATGCTCCATGACCTTTCACATTCTTATGCTCCATGGGTTTAACCTCCATAGACTATCCATGGATCATTTCATTGGTTTAGCCTATCTTGCATAATCATGGATCATTAGCCCACACTATAAGAATCATTGATTTACATAATCAATCCCCATATATTTAATTAGTCTCTTTTGACCACAAAAGTTAATTCCAAATTAATTCTAGATCAATATTAATTAAATAATAATATGATTTCATATTAATATATTATACTTGTAATATACTAATAAATCATAAATAACCTTATTCTCAAAAGTCCATCCTATCAAGTTGCACTGGTGAAGGCAACCCAAAAGGATCATGCTACAATCGGGTCAAGTACATCCTTGTTATAGTTATGGGCTTAGACACCAAATCCAACAGTCTCCCACTTGGATAAGTCTAATAACTATAACTGCCAATGTACCTTTAGGATCCGACTTAGCAATCGTAAGCTTTCAAAAGTTGTTGTCAAACTCT